TCCAGCCATCCATCCATCCATCCATCCATCCATCCATCCATCCATCCATCCATCCATCCATCCATCCATCCATCCATCCATCCATCCATCCATCCATCCATCCATCCATTCATTCATCGCGGCTCTGGCTACGAGCTCTACAGTGTTCTTCCACTGCCGGAGTGGGGAAGAATGGGGCAGTGAGGCACGTGATCCGTAGCCCCGGGAAGCAGCGAGAAGCGGGCGGGAGGGACGCTGTAGAGCCACGAGCCACCTTCATCCCCACTCAGGCAGCAGAGCAGAGAGGAACACCTGGAGCAGACATGTTTGTTTGTTCAGGGTCAATTTTGCCGCATGGCCCAGGCAAAATTCAGCTGTTTTGACCATTAAAGTGCATTTATTAAGGCAAAGTTAAACTGAGACACACCTTGACTATAATGTCGAGTAAAATAATTGTTGTTAAGTGTTATTCTTGTTAGATTTCTAAGAACTGTAACAGACAGTCCTCCCAAGTGTGCTCGCTTCACTCAGCTGGTGCAGGTGGAGGAGCGCTGGAGAGCTAGCGGCTTCGGCCACAATGGATGGATGGATGGATGGATGGATGGATGGCACCGCCCAGGTGAAATAAAGCTGTTTTGACCATTAAATAAATGTGACGGGTCAGCGTTGACACATAATAAATGCGACTTATACGTCAGAAAATACAGTAAGTTTTGGAGCTGAAAGACGGCAGGTGATGTGCATTCCTTTAGGAACGCTGGACCTTTAAAATGAGAAATTATTTAAACTCTCTAACATATCACAAAATCTTTGATTATATACGTTTTGAAATACTGTGTGCATTTATGGGTAACTGTTTGTAGCAGTAGATGGGAGCTCTGCAGCGTGAATAGAATTTCAAATTAAACACGTTTAACGATTGTTTCCAGGTTTATTTCAGTTTGTCGTCCTTCCTTCAACACCCCCACCCCAGCACCTCCTCCCAGTTTGATCACAGCTGCTTGTTGTGCACGTACAGTTGCAGGTTTCAACTCGTCTCGTCGGATTCTTGTGTTTTTGTTTCTTTCTCCGTGCTGAGTTTTCTTTTCTCCCTCGTCGTGCAACACCTGCTCACGTATTCTGGATTTCTGCTCTGAATTAGAACCCCCCCCCCCCACACACACACCCTTTGCAGCTGCTTTAGATTTACTTCAGCTGAAGTTATTTGTCTTCGCTTGTTTGCCTCCAGAGTTTTAACTCTGCATGTGGATCTTCGACTCTGCTGCACGTGCACGGCATCTGCCTGTGTTCAAATAAAGATTTGAGTTGAAAAGAAACGTTTGCTGATGGTCATTGTGTCTGAGCATCCTGGGTTCTTTTTTTCTTTCTTTTCTTTTAAGAACATCTCAAAGAGCATGAAACAATCTGAGGAAAGCAGCTCCTTCCTGTGTGTTGGGCTGCAGGGCCATCAGCAGCAGGTCAGAGGAGATTTCAATGTGAAAAAAACAACTCTTAAATATGGCGCAGAAAACTAAACTGATTTAGGTGCTATACATTTTGCAGATCCAGAAAATAGTGTTTTCTAAAATTCTTCTTCTAAGAAATACAGGGTTGTTTTTTTTAACCCGTCCCTTTCTGGCCTCGGCCTCCTTCCTGTGACTCCATCTGGACGTTTTTCCTTCACAAGTATCTTTTTACTTTTAATTTCTTCGAGCAGCCATGCTTGCTTCTTCTGTGCTTCTTATCTTTATCCCTGAGCCGGTTCGTGCTGAACTTTACTTCAACGGCGCTGAAAGTGAAAACAGTATAAACAAAACCTTGGCAGGAGAAGCAATCTCCCTCCTCTGAACCCAACCGGTTCCCCTCGTTCCGCCCAATCACACTAAATCCTTCAGAACACCCTCTTCTCTCCTCTGGCCTGTGGAGGAGTTGTTTTTCCTCCTCTGTCAGGTTTCATATTTGCTGATCTCTGGTTGAGATACAGCTCAGTTTTGAAAGGACCACACGATGATCTCAAAGATTTATCTGCATCATCTGAACGGTCTGTTCATCGTACGAACAGCCTTTGAATATTTTATTTATCAAACCTCAATCATTTTGATCATACACCATTATGTTGTGGGGATCAGAAAAACGCATGTGCTTTTTCTGTTTTTAATAAAACCTTGTGTCAAACTCAAGGCCCAGGGGCCAAATATGACCGTTCTCATCGTCTCATCTGGACCCCAAAATTATATTTTAGATGTAAAATCATTTTAATCACCTTGTTTTACTTTAAAACTGAGCATAAATCTCAAACAACTGGACAACTCTGAAGCCAAGAAAGGTAGTTTGAATTTTTCCCTAATCTTTGATTTTGATGTGATCAGAACAAAGATCAAATGAGACCAACAAAACTCTTGAGGAGCCTGCAACCAAGAGAAGGTGTCAGACATGACTGTAGGTAACATTTTGACTGGAACTGGACCACGGGTTGAAATTAATTTTTAATTTTAGCCCCTTTTGCAAATGAGTTTGACACCCAAAATCTCCTGAATACCTTTAAGTGAATCTAATAAACTTCAGTTCTTCTACCGAATGACTAAAAGCTTCACATCCTTAAACCAGTTCTTCAGGTTTGCTGCAGTGTGTTACCAGACGCTGCTTGTTTTAGTCATTCTCCCAGAAAACGTCACTTTCTTCAAGGTTGAGTTATGGCCATGTTGTTGTGGCTGGAAGCATTTTGAGAACTACACTTTGTGGTGCGTTTGAGGACAGTCCGACATCTATGAACTGATAGCCCTGCAGACAAAAAAAAAAGGCACAAGGACACTGTGCCAAATGATGTATCGTTTGGTTTTATCACCTAAAATCTCAGTTTGGCGTGTCCCTGAACGCACCGCCAGGTAAATAAAAACTGAATTTTAATGTGACCATTTTTGCATGTTTACCAAAATGATGAAAGTGTTTATTTTATTTGTATTTATTTTTTTATTAATAGCACATTTTAAAAAAAGGTAGTAAACAAAATAATCTAAACTGGAATTAAAAAATTTAAAGAGAAAGAGGAGCCACGAAAAGCTGAATTTTTTTTTGGTAAAGTTTAATGTTTTAAAGCTTGTCTCTCACTGAGCTGCGACTCTATTCCTGAGTTTCCAAAAGGTTCCGGTTTTCCTTTTTATATTATTGGTAATGCCTCCCTCATGTTGCAGGAATTTTGAATATGTTCAAAGAAAAAAAAAAACATGCTGTGACAAATTCTATCAAAATATTCTAAAGTTGTCGTGGGAGTCTGGAAGCAGATCTGTTTAGTTTTTGTGGATTAAAAAAAAAGTGTAAAATATGCAACAACCTCTGAAGGGTTTTAGTTTATATTTTCTTAAACTGATGAAAAATTAAACGGTGATCAAATTACAACAAGATTAAATAAAGACAAAATCAAGCCCATCAGTTGCAGGAATGTCTCCATTTATTTGCAGTTTTGTGCTAACAAGTGGTCAAATTTAATTTAAAAAACGTGCACCATTTGTGTCTCCAAGCAGTCGCAGCTCCATGAGATACAAACGTAAGGGGTTGTGTGTGTGCGTGACATGCAGTCTTTTCCACATGTACTTTTTGGTCCCCAGTTTGATCCAGTTTTGTCTTGATTAAACAGTCATTCGGGTCACTTTTCTCCCTCGCAGACGAGGTGAGAGTCAGAGTTTCTCCCTCCCGTCTGACGGCACGAGAAGGCGCTTTTGAGGCCGGTTGAGTCCAGCTCAGGGGTTGTTGATGATCTGCCTCGGCCGGCCGTAACCAGTCATGCCGGCCTGGGACGCTCCTCTATTCGTGCCCATCTGCAGACCGATGACGTTCCTGCCTTCGTTCAGCTGATCTTCCGAGAACTCCCTCCGGTTCTCCTGAGACTTTCTGCACAAACACACCCAGGCAGGCATCCTTCAACAGATCATCCCTCACACCTTGTGTGGTTTTCAGCTTTTCACAGACACATTGGTTTACATGCGAAGAGGAGAAACATGCACAAACTTACTTAGGGAACCAGTTGGGATCTCCTTTGTATTGCCCATCATTCTTTGTGACAGCCAGACTACCCAGGGACAGCAGAGTCCTCTGGACGGCAGCCAGGTCTTTGCCTGTAGACAGGAATCAGTCTCACATGAATAAATACACAGGGAGGAAACAAAACTGGGCTTGTAACATTTTACAGGACCACAGTCACAAAACGGCCGACGTGTGAAGAAAAAAATACAAAACCAGAGGAGCTGCAGCTCAGTAATGCGATGAACTGACAGCATTAGTTGTGACTACCCGCTCATGGGAATAAACAAGTCTGTGGTCTTACCCTCAAACAGGTCTACGGTCTGGAACATGTCCGTTTTGATGACTCCGTAACTTTCAGCAGCTTTGAGGAACATGGAGATTTGCTCCATTTGTTTGAAGGCCATGGTGGAGGTTTTGATGGTCTTGATGGGTTTGTTGGCTCCATGCAGGCTGTTGATGAGCTCACAGAGCACCTGCAGACACCCAGAAGCAGCATGTCCCTCTCATTACTGTTGCCACCAGCAAGAATTACAGATAATTACACACTCACAGAGCCAACACTCACACATCCATCCTTGAGCCATGTCTGGAAGCCAATCTTGTCCGGCTGAGGATGGCCCACTCCTGGGCCACACTGAGCTACGATCCACGCCACCAGTCGCTCCTCCAACTCCGGGTCGTACTTCTTATCGATCTTACTCTGAACCTCGCGGCTCAGACCGTAGGAAGGTCCTTTGTTTGCCATGTTGGATCCTGTTGGGAGTGTCAGATTGTTAGCATTCACAACCAAACTCCTGATCTGCTGCACACGCCCTAAACTACTGGCATGCTGTCAGAACCACAAATGATTTAGATCCTCTCCGGTGAATCAGTGGTTTCTTCTGGCTATCACAGGGTTTTATGTTTATGTGGAGCTTTTTGTTGTAAAAATCTCTTTGAATTTCCTCAGTTTGGAGAAACAGGAGTTTTAATCTGACCAGATTCACAAGAGAACGGCTACTCTGAACAGGACCTGGACCAGTGGTGTCCAGTCCTGGACTTTGAGTGTAACTGTCCTGCATGTTTTAGGTGTTCCTCTGCTCAAACACACCTTATGTGAATCAATGGTTGATTAACAGAACATGACAAGGTAATTCAACAACTGAACCAGGTGTGTTGGAGCTATGAAACCACTAAAACATGCAGGATGGTGGCCCTCAAAGACCAGGATTGAACACTCCTGGTCCAGTTCCTCGACCTGCATGGTCTGCTGCTGTCTTTAGACAACTCTAGTCTAAAATGATTCCTATGAACATAAAGCAAACAGCAGAATCTGATAACTACTTCTTCTTCTTCTTCTTCTTTTGGTTTTTATTGGCAGTTGGCAACCAACTTAAGGAGCATTTACCGCCACCTACAAAACTGGAGTGTGGTCTTCAGTGATGTCAGAGGGAATTCAACACATCAAATGATGTGTATGAATTTGATAACTAGAGGAAGAAGAGAGGGATAAGGGTGTGATGTCAGCAGGGCTGATTAGCAAATGAGAAACAGGCGAGTAGAGAGAGAGATGACTCCAGCAATCACTGAAGGAAACAATGGGCCAGAACTGCAGGATAAATTAATCAAGAATGCAAAAAAACTTGGTAACAACAACAACAAAAAAAAAGACTGAATATGAATATTGGGGAAATGTGGTGCAGTGGGAGGACAGTGGTTTTAGAACCAGAAAGTCACAGGTTCAACTCCCAGCCATGCTCACATGTTGCGGTGTCCTTGAGCAAGACATCTGATCCCTAACTGCTCCACTGGCAGCTTATCTGCCCGCTGCTCCACTTGAGCACAGCCTCGTTCACAAGACGCCTCAGTCCGAGACTGAGATGTGTTCTGGCTGCCTCGGTCCATTCAGAAGACACACCGAGGAGGTGAGTGGGGTCGGAGGCAGACTTCCTCTGATGAGTCTCTGTGCCTCCAAGCAACAGCAGCTGACCGACGTGGGAAGGAAAAGGAACAACCCAGAGGAGCTGCGGCTCAGTAATGTGATGAACTGACAGCATTAGTTGTGCCCACTCATGGGATTAAACAACAAAGACAGATTACAGAGGGAACACTGATGATGGTGCACAGCAGCTCTGTAGTTTAAAACAGATATTTAAACCACAAACAGGATCACTAAAGTGAGTTACTTCATTTTAGTAAACAACACGAGGGAGCTGTCCGACACATTTAATGCATCACGCGCCGCTTCAGCCCAGAAGAGTTCTGCTTCACGCCTCTCTTGGTTCTACTCGAAGATCACATCTGAGCGGGATGTGACGGCTTCAGCTGTGACATGAAGGAAGGAAGGAAGCTTAAAGACGGGCTGGTTTGTGCATCCCTTTTACAGAACTGTCTTCTGAATATGCCTTACATCTCACGTGTGTGGTAAAAATATGGAAAAAACAAACAAACTGCAACCCAGAAACTCAAAGCTAGCCATTAGTTTGTCAATATGTTCAGAAGTAAAACTAGTTCATGTCATTTAAAGAGCCATCTACAACAGGTAAGATACTAACTGTTCATAACTTTGATCTTCAAAAGATCTAATTTACTTTCTGGTAAGAAAGTGATGCCGATCTTATATCCAAGTTGTGCTGAACATTAAGATACAAGCAAGAGCTGATAAAGACGTCAAGATGTACAAAGTGTGGTCACTTAAAACGACAGATCTAAAAAGGTAAAAAGAAATGAGCTTAGTGATCCATGCATTGTCCCAGCCACACCAGTGATAATTATCCAACAAAGACGTTTGAACGTCTCGCAGAATTACAGCCCTGCTGCTCTCCAAGTCATAATGTTGAGCCCGTCTCTCTTATTGCTGCTGCATGGACTTCCTGTCTGCAGGGCCGCCCTGCTCCCTGCATCCTGTTTGCTCATTCTGCTGTCACTTCCTTCCTGTTCCTGACAAAAGGTGACCAGAAACAGAATGCACTGTTTGTCACTATGGGAACAGCCTTTAGCAGATAAGCACTACATCCAGAGAGCTAAATCAGTAAATACATCGATATTCAGAATGTTTTGTTTTAGATGTAAACTTCAGATAAACGCGTTAAGACGACAGGGTTTGAGCTGATGGGGGAAATTCTTCCTGCTTTTCTTTTCCCTTCACTTCCTGTACAAAAAAATATAGAACACTGTTGACTTTTTTTTTTACATTTGCATATTTGTGCGAGCATCTGTTTTACATTTTTAGCTGGAAAACAAGGTTCAAAGCCAGTGAAGCACGTTGTTTTTTTTCCTCCACCACTTATCAAAGCAGAGCCTCGTCAGTCCAGCTCGACACGTGATGCTGTTTGACAAATCCCCCACACATGACATCACTCGTCTCTTTTCAGTGGAAGATGGACGTGTTTGATATCTTCCAGAACCAGTTTGTTGTTGCAGGAACGAGAGCCGAAGCACAACATGGAAGTGTTTCTCAATCACTGGAGGCCTGTGCTGTCCCGGCACGCCCGGGTGACACAGCTGCAAACATCAGGGACTGATCCGAGCAGATTTTTATCAGAGCTACACTTTGAATCTCCCATCAGGCTGTACTGATAGTTTAAAAACATTAGTGGAGCCAGTCTGTGTTCTGACTGGGAGTGCTTACAGAACATCTTGTAGCCAGAGCCACGCCGTGACCCTGGTGTTTGTGCTGCCGACGTCAAAAATCAGCCGTTTTTAAAACTGAAGGATCGACACATTTAGGCGTCGTGCTCCTCGTCCTTGTCGAACTTTCTATAAATGTGAGGTCATTCTACATCTTCCTGAACTCATGTGAACTTTGTGCTCCAGTCCTCGTTAAATTGTAACGTTTTATTTTTTAAACCAGGCCAGTGTAATCACATTCTGCAGGCTTGTAGTTGTGTCTGGTCCCGGTACGTCAGCAGCACAGAGATGTCAGGCTACTCTCAGCTGCTTTATCTTGAAGTAGCACACTCTCAGTTATTTTCCAGACAAAATCTTAAATCTTTAATGGGATAGTTCTGTAGAAAGGTAAACATCTTACCTGTTGTAGATTGGCTATTTGAGCAACTTCAGTTAGGAGAAACAACCTCAATCTTACCAGACCGGTAAACTAAAGCAGGGGTGTTTCTTTTCAATTATGAATTTTGGGGCCGGACGGAGATTATCCAATGGCCACTTTTGGCCCTCGGGCCATATGTTGCCCATGTCTGTGCTAAAGGCTAGTCTTAGTGAAGCAGGACTGAAGCAGGCTGCTGCTTCATTTTAGTGTTTTGGAGAAAGATGGCAGCGGTCCTCTTTAGATGTTCTTAGGACGAGCTGTCATCTCGTTAATCTGGCGAAAATTAAACTCTTACAAAATAAAACTTCCATCTCAGAAAATTCAAAGTGGTTTAATCTAATGCCATTTTACACCACTTTATAGAAATGTGGTTGTTTACATTAAAGTCTTGCTAGTGCATGTGTCAATCAAACTCAAGGCCCGGAGGCCAAATCTGGCCCTTGTTAACATCTTTTCTGCCCCCCCACCCCAGAATGATATTTTAAATGTGAAATATTTTATAGCTTCTAAAGAAGCTAATAAATGCTTCATTTTGTGCAGACTTTTCGTGACAGCTGGCCAACTTTGAAACCAGAGAAAAGTTTGGGTTTTTCAGTAATCTTATATTTTGATGCGGAAAGAGAACAAACAAACGAGATCGATAAACCAAGATAACGTGTCAGGGTTCTGACTCGAGTTAATGTTTAAACTAAAACGGCTCCGTGGCTTGGACAGAGTTGTTAATGTGGCCCCACTTTTGTAACGAGTTTGACACCCCTGTTTGTTGCACTTCTTGACGCACGTCCAGCCGACATTGATTTCTTTCAGAACAACGAATGTGCATTTGATGGTGGTCTAAAAAGTCTTTATGCAAAACATTTTTGAGAACATCCACTTTGGCCTCAGCTCAGTCTGGTGAAGATTCATTTCCGTTTCTCCAAACGGAGGCCGCTCAGAGAGGCTGCAACTTCCCCACAGAAATGTTTCTCTTTCATTCACTTTCATCCTTTCGTGCTGTAAGAAAACCCATCGTTCTACGTTTCAACACCAGATGTTCCGGTTTCATTCAGTGTTTGCTCAGATCCACGTCCATCATCGTTTGACCTCTCCTCTGCTCTGCTGAGAGGCGTTCCTCAACTTGTTTTTGCGAGCTTCACCTCTGCAAACACATTTTGACTAGAGCTGATACTGATCTTGGTTTTAACGGATCTGACGGCTCCAGTCTTCTGCTTCCTTATCTTCAAAGATGAAAAACAAAAGTCACGTAGGACTCCTTCCCAAACACGTGACCAGAATGCTGAATCCACTTCCTGAGCTGAAAGTTGAGTTAATGTTTTGGAACAGGATAAGTCAGACTTGTTAACATTCCTTGAAACCTTTGAGCAAATAAAGAGAAGGTAGATGTGTTTGGTTCACACAGGAGTCGTTAAACATTAACTTTTAGAGGTTCGACATGTGCAAGGAGGAGGGTGGGGTGGAAGATACCGGTTCTGTTCAAGCTTCCTGTCTGGAGTAGACACAACTCTTTTTGAAAAGTTAGCAAGAACCCAGGGAGGTGAACTGAAAGAGGAGGCCCGGGTGTGTGTGTGTGTGTGTGGGGGGGGGGGGGGTAGAAGAGTAGCTTACCTTGTGTTGCCTCCAGGTGAGTAGAGGTGAGCCCGGCCTTGTGTTCACGCTCTTCCTCTCCAGCTCAGAGCAGACTGACTGAACTGCCAGCTCAGAAACTCCAAACACCCCCTTGTGTGAACAATATGACTTGACATCCAGAGAGAGGGAGAGGCGCCTCCTCTCATGTCACTCCTCGACCCGCCCCTGCTCCTCCTCCTCCTCCTCCTGCATGCCACTCAAAATGTTATTCCTTATTTAGGAAGAAGGCAGGATGGAGAGGAAAAAAACCAGAACATGAGACTTTGTAGTGCGGTGTGGTCGCTGAGAAGAATTCCTAAAATTTCCTTCTGCTCCACTGGAGGAGGAGGGTTATGAGGGAGGGGGTGATGTCCTGGTGGAGAGGAGTTTGAGAGCTGAGAGCGGTCAGACTCGTGTAGGAGATGGTTTCTTGTGCTAATTTGAACTAGCTTTTTGTTTGTGGTTTTCTGAAGCCTGACTGAAACTGAAAGAGACAGCCCCCCCCCCCCCCCCCCCCCCACACACACACACACACACACTACCTCCACGAAAGGAAACAAACAAGAAAACAAGAGAAACAGGTCACGAGATCTTTTCTCAGCATAAAGAGAGCCCAGTCTTGTCTCTGTGCATTGTTTCAACAGGACAACAAGGAGACCCTCCCTTCTTCAACCCCCCCACCACTTTAATGATTGGTAGCAGGAAGCCAGGACCTGGCAGGACCTGGCAGGCTCGTCACTCATGATGACAAAGACTGTCAGGACCTGGCACTGTTTCTGAAGTAGTCAGCCATGAAGAGGTGCAGAGAAGCTGGAAAACATTTTTAATAAATCGTCCAACTTCTGTCCTGAGATTGACTTTCAGTTCCATCAAACCACCGATGGAGACTAGGGAACGGTTCCTCTATAGTTTTCCTCAACAAGTCTTAAAACCTGGTGTGAAATGTCAGGCCGGCAGCCAGCTGAAAACTTCTGCACAGATACAAAGTTTGTTTTCTCAGTCATCCAGGTATATAACAACAAAAAAGGTTGAATCATGTCATCTGGACTTCGTTTTTTTTTTTTTGTTAAAAAAGAAACGTTTCGCCCCTCATCCAAGAGGCTTTGTCAGTCTGAGGCCTAGCCATCTGGTATTACCCAGAAGCCACCCTGACTCTTGTGTTTCAAGCCTGT